GGAACCAAGAGAGGTGGCGCATCCGAATCTCGGATCTTCAGGGTCCTCTCTTGGCCCCGCCTTGTAGGTGTGACAGTTACCGAAGTCTCAATGGGGGTTGGAACTTCCAGATCAAAACTGGAATGGCTACCCACTACAGGCCTATCATCATCAGTCCATCGATGGTACATCCCCTCAGCTATTGGCTCCTTGGTACATCCTGCCGGTCAGCACCATGCGACATCTCGGGCTCTCCCTTTGACTGCCACCGGATTCCCAGTGCAAAATTTCTGGAGAAATTCCAATTCCTTTGGGGGACAATTGTCTCAATAGTCTACAGCCTAAAGGGAGGACACAAGCATCTCTCTTGAGAGCACCTTCGCTCCGGCCTGGATGCTCAGAAGATGACCTCCTCTCAGACCTACTCGTTTAACACACCTTAAGCAATGTTCTAGTCAAACCACTTGGGGATGTGAAGGAGAAGCAGAGGGTACAGAGACAAGAATTCAAGATTCCCCTTCCCACTCTGACTAGTGGTAAACACTTGGAACCTCAGTTTCCTCATTTATAAGAGAGGGAGTTGACGGTGTTACTAATCAAATAACAGCACTGAAAACTGGCATTCTCTGAGGAAAACAAACACAACAGCCTTCGCCAAGTCCCTCATAGGTCCCAGACAGCAAGCCAGTGGCTTACGTATAGGAGGGAGGAACATTTTAGAATGCAGTAGCCCAGGCATTTTAAGGAACTTAATTCATTCCTTGTAACGACCTTGAAAATTGTTCTTTTCTTCTGTACCTTATTGACCTAGATGTAGACAGGTTTAGGAACTTTTTAAAGTTACAGGTACTCAGTGTGCTGCCTAGCGTTGTCTCTGGTTCATGATCAATACACGTTTACCCAGTCACTAAAGGTGGTGACTAGAAAGAGTACAGGTTTAAACCTGGATCTGTCCAGCCCAGGATCAATCCTGCCACTATTAAACTTATTCAAAACAATTAGTATTTGGACAGTTGCTTGGAGCTCCATACAAGGCTGGGAGTTTGGTGAATTTCAGGGCCAATGGCCACTTGAACATCTAGCTACATAATTAGCTGCCAAGTCCCTGTCCCCTGGATGAATCTATAATTAAGCAAGTTTGTAAGACAGTTAGGCATATTCCCTTGGTCCCTAGAATGCGTAACACTTACCCAAAGGGCTAGACTTGGAGAAAAACACAGGCCCGGAAAATATTTTATCATGCTCTGGAAGGATTTTTCTCCCTAGCCAACATAAACAATTACAGAACAAGATTTTGTTTTGTTTTAATCAATAAACACAGCATTTCAGAGGTTTGATCTTATACAGAGTTTCTTCACAATGTGCTTTAGAAACAAAAATAATTTGATTTGATAGCACATGATGATATCAGTGTATTGCTGTTCCTATCAAGCAACTGGATGAATGTAAGAAAGATGGGTATTCCCCAGGGGAAGGATTTTTCTCATGTGCCTAAGACACAGCCCTGATTACGCCTGGACACTGGAAGACAGGTCCAGTGGGTGGTTCTTACAAAGAGCAAGCAAATAAGGAAATTCCTTTTTCCAGCTCCTTCCATGTTCCTCCTCTCCATTGTGCTCCTGCCTAGGACTCCAGTCACCCCGGGGTACTTCCTAGACCTTGGCCTATTTCTCTGTTGCTCCAATTTCAAGTGTTTTCTAGAGATTCTCGCAAGCTAAGCCTCTGGGAGGTGTTGCAGGGACTCCTACGCACATGATTATTAATTTTTCATTTGTTTATTTATTTATTTGGGGCGTGGCTGGAGAAGGCATGCATATGCCACAGGACACATATGGAGGTCAGGGGACAGCTTTCAGAGGTCCGTTCTCTCCTTCCACCTTGTGAGTCCTGAGGATGGAACTCAGGTGTCAGTCCTGAGAGCAAGCACCATTACCCACTAACCTATCTGGCTCAGCCTCCATTATTATTTGTTTTTGAGACAAAGTCTCACTATACAGCCCAGGGCAACTGCAACCTCCATCTTTTCCCCCAGCCTCCCCAGTTGCTATGATACAGGCGAGTGTCACCACGTGCCCTTTTAATGGTGATAAAGCTGGAACTCTGTGGCAGCAGGGGCCCTGGCAGCTGACTTGGTGACTTAATTATTATCACCTTTCTTCTTTCCTTGTCACTTTCTGAGAACTGGGAAGTCTTTCTTGTTACTGGAGCCTGAAGACTGTGATTCTCTCTTATTTCCCTCTGCACAGGGTGTCATCACGGCATCACCCATTCACGGCCCTGCTGTCTTGAGTGGAACAGCACCCCTTTACCACAGCCGTCATGATGGGAGGTGCAAATGCTTTGCATTTGAGCCTGCTAAAGAAGAAACAGGGGTAATTCAGCATCGTGGACAATTTCCTTTGTCTCCTACTCTGTGTTTAGCTACCTCTGTCTTCAACCTGGTTTAACTCTGCCCTGTTCTCAGCCAAACTATATATTTAATTGAGAGTGGGTCTGGCTCTCCCAGAAGCCAAATGTCTTAGTTGCTGTTCTATTGCTGTGAAGAGACACCATGACTAAGGCGTTTAACTGGGGGGCTTGCTTACAGCTTTAGAGCGTTAGTCCTGTCTGGTTAATTCTGATAATTAACGAGGCTGTGGCATGCTAACTAATTACTTGACACCCACCCCCACGCTCCCCACTGAGTCGTCATTGCCATCCTCCATTCTGCCGGGGGTGGGGTGAATGGAACCCGCCATCTGGGTCTCCGACCACCGAGAGAGAGAGAGAGAGAGAGAGATGAGAGAGAGAGAGAGAGAGAGAGAGAGAGAGAGAGAGAGAAAGCGCAAGCGCTTCCCCTCCATAGTTTTAAGCAGTCAAGTACCCAGAAAAAAAACACACCTCTATTGGGCCAGATACCCCAACATCATTGGGCCAGATACCCCAACATCATTGGGGAAGCGACTTCCCACAACATAGTCTATTATCATCATGGCAAGAAATGTGTTGAGAGGCAGGCAGGCATGGTGCTGGAGAAGTAGATGAGAGCATCCTGATCTTTGGGAAGCAGGGAGAAAGAGAGAGAGAAAGAGAGAGAGAGAGAGAGAGAGAGAGAGAGAGAGAGAGAGAGAGAGAGAGAGAGAGAGAGAGAGAGAGAGAGAGAGAGAGACTGGACCTGATAGAGGCTTTTGAAACTCCAAGCCCACCCTGAGTGGCATACCTCCTCCAACAAGGCCACACCTCCTAACCCTTCTCAAACAGTCCACCAGTCGGGGACCAAGCATGGGAACATGTGAGACTATTGAGGCCCTTCTCATCCAAACCACCGTACCAGAGATTCTCTTCGTAGGCTCATTGCTTTGAGTTCCCCTCTGTACTGTCGGTTATGGTCCAAATATTTGTTTTACATTGCCGTTTCCATATGTAGAATCCTTTCTCTTAAACAGCACAATTCAGCAGTTCTTCATACGTTCACAAGGTTGTCCAACCATCAACACTTCAGAATTCAGAGCACTGCCATCATCATCCCCCAAAGAAATCTCATTCTTATTGGGAGTCCCTCCTCCCCATCTCTCTTCCTCCGGCCCCCAGAAATCGCTCACTTAGTTTCTGTCTCTATGGAATATAAATGGAACCACACAGTACACTGTTTCTTGTAACTAGCTTCCTTCAGTTAGCTTGAAGATTTAAGGGTGCATCCTTGTTAACAGCTTCTGTAACTGAGACATTCACTAGATATGACCATCAGCCAAGGGACAAGAGGGATTTTTCCGCTTTGGGGCCATGATGAACAATTGTGTACAGATTTTGGGGTGGAGATATATATATTTAAAAGTTCTCCAGCGTGTATGCCTAGGACCGAAGCGTGAGGCTGGCCCAGAGCATAAGGAAATATTTCCCTTCTCTCCATTCCCGGGATTTTTCCACATTCACGAACCAAAGGGAACGATCGACACAGAGGACTCTTTACAGAGTCTGTGTGACACTGGCGCTTGCTTTTCCGAGTCAAATAGAAGCCCAAACACCCCCACCCCACCCCCGCAAACAATATGCGGCTTGGGGTGACTTTGTCGGGCCCAAGCCAGCGGCCAGCCACCGCAGAGACCGCGGCGCAGGCTACAGCAGCTTGCAGCACCCACCCGGTGCGGGTATGCAGAACCAGCCTTTCCACCAAGCTTGTAATCTACACAGAGACAATTTTACGTCAAGGACCTGGGGGTTACTTGAACTATATAGTCTCTCAAAACCTATGAAGAAGCTCGGGTTGTGATGGGGGGTGGGCAGAGGCTGAGTGGATATTTATAGCGCCAAATAAACAACAGTTTACAACTCAGAGCAGGGCTGGCGGCCCATACTTTCCCAAATTTGACGGAAGCCTGCCCCCTGCTGGCCATGAGCAGCAGGCACCCATAGCAGGGGCCGCTGAGCGGGTTTCTTCGAACATCATTTTCCCCATATGAGTAACAGCTTAGAAAATGTTACAATCCGTTCAGCTATGGCAACACAGAAATTCCATCTTCCGCAGAATATTCTTCTTTTGTCCTTTTTTTTTTTTTTTTTAAAAATGTGTGTTTTCTGCGTTCAACAGAGGCAGAGCTGGATGGTTTCGGTTGTGAATCTTTCATTGGCCATAAATATTAGTTGCATTATGTAGTGCCTGTCAAGGCCTTTTTGCTCCTAGGGACTCACAAGGCCCCCCAAATCCTTTTTTCTAGTGGCAATGGAAAAGGGCTATTCAAGATGGGAGATGGTATAATTTAGAGGCTGACAGCTTGCCAGGAATTTTGCAAAGGTGTTTTGCAGACGGAATAAAGGATTCCCTTGAGTTCTGTGGAATATGCTAGCTTTGCCAGATCGCCGCAGGGCGTCAGATGTGTTGGGACTCTCACAAACACATGCCAACCCCTTTCTCCTTTTCCTCCCACATCAGTACCCTGTCCGCGCAAGCCGACCCAGGGCAGGAGTGGAGTCAGCCCTGGGAGGGTAAGCTAAAGGCTGGTGGGACGATGAGAGGAAACCGTGAAGCTGACAGAGGGAAGAGGACAAAGGAAAGGCGGCTCCCCGCGCCCGAGGGAACTAAAGAGCTAGAGGCTGTTTCCCCGGGAATGCAGGGCTCCCTGCAATGCAATGAACCAACCCTTGTTCAGCTCCGGGTTAACAAAGAAAGGGAACCATCCAGTGTTCACCCAGAGCCTTTGAAAATAACCCCATGCTACCAACCTAAACAACGCTTTAGGGACATTTTCTTTCTGCCCCGAGAGAGGCTCAGCTCTTTGATGAAAGAAAAAGGTGCTTGTTTTGTGTTTTGAAACAGGTTCTCACCGTGTAGACCAGGCTGGCCTCTGCCACTCCGGGTAAGTTGCTAATTTTTGAAGAGGAGGTTTGGGTTTCTAACCTCTGAGGAGAAAGGGGACATAAGAAGGTCCTTTATGGGGGAACAAGCATCCTAGTCACAGGTCTGGAAATCTGTCCGTCCTCCATGTGATGCCCATGAACAGCCAGAGGGCGTGTCCACTTCTTATTGCCCAGCGGGCTCCCCTGCTGACCCAGGGAGGCTCCCCGCGGGTGTGGCGGCCCCATCTTGGGTGCAGACTCCTGTTTCCGTTTCTGATGCTCCAACCCTTTGGGTCCCTCTTTGGATCTCCCTCACTTGCCCTGCGCCTCTGGACTTGCTTTTCCCATGCATAAGGCTAGCCTCTGTGTCCTTTAGGAAGGACAGGGCTCCTGCATTGTTTAATATCGACCTTAAGGAGAGGCGATAAGGGAGAAGAGGGAGAGAGGCGGGGAGAGAGACTGAGGCAGACAGAGACAACGGGGGTGGGGGGCAGAGACAGAGAGAGAGAGAGGGGGGGGGGAAATTGTCCCTCTCTCCCTCTTACAGGGCTCTGTTCCTTGCATTTCTTCCTGTTTTTGCAGAGCTGAAGACCCGAGGGGAGAGGGAAGGCAAGGAGAGGCGGGGCCCCATCGCTGCTGAGGAGCAGGACTCAGTTTAGGATTTATTTTGGTTGGCCTCCGACCTAGACCCGTGCAGGCCGTCCCCCCCCACCTTAAGCGAAGAGATCTTGTCTAATGCCAGCGTCACATTTGAGGCAAGAAGAGGAAAGTCCAGAAAAAGTTCCCTTTTCAGGCCTTTTCGAAGCACTTTTATTTTCGTGACACGTGTTCGAACAAATGTTTGTCCAGCCACCCTCCGGCATGCCCTCTCATTAGCTTGGGTCCCTCTTAGCTGCCTTCTCTGGGCCTTAGGACCTTGGCAATCAGCCGGGGCACCCAAGCTCTGGCATTAGGCGGCAGGATTTGGAGATGCCAAGACCTTGAGAAAGAGGAAGAAAAACAAAAAAAAAGTGGTCTAAACCGAGTTACGTAATCCTATTCCTTTTGGGATCCGGGCGGTGAAGTTCTGCAGGGCGGCCAGTAGGGGGAGCTCCGGCCGTTTACCAGAACTCCGGCGCTGCTGTGGTCAGGAGCCAAGCCAAGGCACAAACAAACAATGAGCCTTTGTGGTTTCTCTTCGCCTCTGAATTCCACCAGGATGGCCTGATCCCCACCCTGGAGGACGCAGCTAGCTTCTCCCAGGACGCCGTCTTCCTTAATTGGCTTTTCGGAATCTGTAGGACCAAATTTCCCCTTTCTTTCTTCTTCCACTCCCTCCCTCCCCCGGGCGTTTCTCCTAAATCTCCTGTTTCCCAGGCGCTCTGAGACTGTGTATGTTGCTTTTGTCTTCCTGACATTCCCGTCTCTTAAGTTTCCTGTTTCTCTGCACCATCCTCGAGTCACTAGTAAATGCTGTGAAAAATGCATGGAGGTGAACCCACCCACAGACAGAGCTCTGAAATACACCCGAGCCTGGCACTTTTGAATAAAATTTAAAACAGGCTGGAAAGCTAAGATGGCGAAGTCCGCCACCACGTGGACATCTTTCAAGTCCTTGTCTTTGGATAAGCCCCCCTTACCATGCCACAGCCTTTCTGCTGTTCGGTGACAGCGGCCACTGACTTCCAAAGGCTGCCTCCCTCCCTGGCTGCCAGGACCAGGTCTCCTGGGTCTTTTAGAGAAGGTACTGACAACAGTGACGGTTACTGGCTTTCTGATATTTGACCACCAGTCTCCTGAGCAGTTCCAGAGCACAATGGAATTCTTGAGTCAGGGACTGCGGTAGTCCAGATAAGAAACGGAAAGACAGCTTCACCCGTTGCCTGAAACCTCTTGACCTGTGAGATTCAGGGTCTCTGGGTGGGGTGGGCCTCTCTGCCAGAATGACTTACTTTGCCTTTTTGTTTTTGTTTTGAGGTAAGGCCACACTTCGCCCAGGTTGGCCTCCTCGAACTCAACTACGTATCCAAGGATATTGCATTTCTGATCCTTCTGCCTTCTCCTAAGTGCTGGGATTAGAGGCATGCACCACACTCCAGGCCAAGTGCTTTCCTTTATTTACTGAAAATTTCTCTTAAGGCTAGCCTTCATTGTCTTTCTCTCCAAACTTGGATTTGCACGTGTATATGTATGTATGTATGTATGTATGTATGTATGTATGTATGTATGTATGTATACATGTACACATTCTTGAGAGAAATGGAGATTACATTCTCTTCCTGTGCTTTTGGGCCCTAGGGAATCTAGAAACGTGACTAAGCATGTGTGTAAAAAGCCGGGAGATTGTATGACAATCAACCGGCGCCTCCAACCTATGATGGAAAGCTGCTTTGCCTGGAGTTCAGAGGCAGTGTTGAGGGATGCTTTCTCAAATGCTGGTGCTGTGATGTTATGAGTGTTGCAGCTTCCTAATTTTTACCTTTCGTGGCCCCTGCCTCTCATCCCAATAGTAGGTATATGAGTCCGACAGGAAGGAACTAGATTGGATGGGGCACAGTACTCTTCGGTTTGGGCATGTTAGCTTTCTCCAGAAGCCAAGGACGGCAGCTGAGATCTTGTCTAACACATCCTTGCCTTGCTCAGTACTTAGTGGCTGCTCTCATTTCCTAGTTCCAGAAGCCAATGGGGCTAAGTTTAAGATCCAGGTAGGAAGTAGAGGGTAAACAGGCAATATGACTCAATCCAGCGTTAACACTTGCTTACCCTTTGCCAGGCCTTGGCCGTCTAGAAAGGCTGAATGAGACAGATCTGGCCCTGCGTAACTGCTTCTATTGCACTTGCACACACACACACACACACACACACACACACACACACACAGTGTCTCCAAAGGGGAATAAAAAGTCTGCTACAAAAGAACAAAACAACAACAACAAAAAAACTAATGGGGTAAAACCATCAAGCAGGCTGCCTCTACAGTGTGATCCATAATCTCCCCGACGGCTAGAACAACAATAACAAAGTTGCTCTGCTTTCTAAATGAAGCTTTGCATCACTCCGCAAACTAACAAAGCGTTCCTTCCTACAGACACTGCTCCGAAATGAAACATGTTGGGCTTGTACAGCTATTCAAATGTCGGTGGATTCTAAGATGGAAATGTTGCTGAGGTAGAGAAGAGAGGCGGGTCTCTAGACTGCAGATGGGGAAGGGGCTCTGTGGAGACAGGGCACTGCAGCTATTCTAGAACAGTGGGGGAAAGATGTAATCAGGCAGGCAAGGGGATAAAATGTGTTTCTAAAACTATTGGGTCTGGGTGAGTATAGGGTAAGGAGGCTCGTTATGGTCAAATATTTAACAGGGACTTCAGTGTGGAAGCCTTGAAGAAGTGCTACTCCCACCCCTTATCAGTAGGATCCAGAGGAAATAATCAAAACCTGCCAAGGCAGGAGGGTTGTAAAGGTCAACCACGAGGCCACCTTCTAAGGTCAACCCGACAGGGCCTAGAGGCACCTTCCTGCCTCTTGGGGGCACTTACTAAAGAACAGAAACTTCATGTTCTGAAACCCTGCAGGTCACATATGGGGGATGGGGTTGGGGATGGAGAGATCATGACCTCTATGAGCTGAACTCCCAGGACGCTTTGCGGCAAGCCAAAGAACTCAGAAGGTAACAGCTGAAGAGAAACAGGCAGAGGAAGGACGGGTCCCCGCTCACCCACCTCCCAGCAGCTCATCAGAGATGCTCTCTGAGCTACCTCTGTATCGTTTGTTCCACAAGCTTGTACTTAGATCTTGCTTACAAGAACTGTTTCCAGTGTTCAGACTGATGACTGAGACTCACTTTTCCACACAAGCTGCTCCCAGCTCATCTCTGAATCTTCCCCCACGGGGTCATCCGTTAAGTGGGATTGATGTAACGACAAATGGGAACCGTTTCCACAGGCATCATCGGCTGGAAGTAAGCAACAGAAATGAAGCTGTGACGGAGCAGAGTGTGGAGACAGGAAAGGCTGGACTCAGACAGATAGTGTTATCTGTGAGGCTGAAGGAGCCAGAGGTCCTGCCTGCCGCTACAAAGGGCTGGCAGAGGCAGAGAGATGGACTGCATGCTTAGGGGCTGTCTTTCCTACAGCTTGGAACACAGTTCAGAAGAGGCCTTTCTCTGGTCTTGGCTCTGTTCCAGCTTAGCTGTCTGTTCCTGGCCGTCTTCCCGGTCTTGATTTCATTGTCTGTGAGTGGAAAATATTAGACATCTCTAGGGTTTTGATAAGACCTATACTTTGTCATTCTTTTAGCCTTGGGTTTTGGTTTTAAATATTGTCCTTGTTAGGTTTCTACTGCTATGATAAACACCAAGACAAAAGGTAACTTGGGGAGCGCAGGGTTTATTTCAGCTTATAGTTTCTAGTCCATCCTGAAGGGAAGTCAGGGCAGAAACTCAAGGTAGGGACCTGGAGGCAGAAACTGAAGCAGAGACCATGGAGGAATGCTGTTTATTGGGTTTGGGTTGCTTCCCATGGCTTATTCAGCTTGCTTTCTTTAAAACAAACAAACAAGCAAAAAACACTATTTTTTTTTTTTTCTGAGACAGGGTTTCTCTGTGTAGTTTTGGTGCCTGTCCTGGAACTCGCTCTGTAGACCAGGCTTGCCTCAAACTCACAGAGATCCACCTGGGATTAAAGGCACGGGTCACCACTGCCCAGCTCAAAACACTATTTTTGTCTCATGTGTCTGGGTCTTTTGCCTGTGCATGCTATACATCATGAGTACGCAGTACCTACGGAAACCAGAAGAAGACATCAGATCCTCTGGAACTGGAATTAGAGATGGTTGTCAGCTGCCCCATGGGTACTGGGATTTGAACCCAGGTCCTCTGGAAGAAGAGCTTTCAAGAGTGTTCTTAACCTCTGAGCCACCTCTTCAGCTCCTTAGTTTGCTTCCTCAAAAAACCCAGGACTGCCTGCCCAGGGGTGGCACCACCCACTGTGGACTAGTCCCTCCCATGTCAATCAATAATCAATAAAGTGCCCCACAGACTCGTCCGCAGGCCAGTCTGATGGAGGCGCTTTCTCAACTGACGTTTCCTTTTCCCAGAGGGCCCCAGCTTGTGTCAAGTTGGAAAAAAAAAGTAACAAAACAAACAAGCAAACAAACCAATAAGACACAAATATTAATTGTGCTTCATGGAATTTTGTCTTATTTTGCTTTTTTTGTTTTGTTTTGTTTGAGATGTTAGGAGTTTAGACTGGGACTTTTCACACACAAGCCAGCACTCCCTCCCTGGACTGTATCCTCACACTTTTTTAATATCATATTTTATTAATTCGTTGACAATTTCATACATGCATACAATGTGTTTCGATCATATTCACACGCACCCCCACTCCAACTCTTTCCAGATCCACCTTTGCCCCCTTTTAACTTCATGTCCTCTTTTTTTTTTTTTTTTTTTTAAGCACACCAAGTCCAATTTGTGCTGAGGATATTCTCATGGGTGTTGGGCCAACCACTGGAGGGATGGCATACCTACCATGTAGTGGTTAGCTGTTCCAGCTTTGCCCTGGAAGTACTACCCCCATTGAGGCTTCCGCTAACTGTCATGCCTACAAGGCAGAGAGGAGAGAGGAGTCCTTAAGACCCAAGATCCGGATGGGCCGGCTCTCTTGGTTCCTGGATCCTGGACGCTGGAGGTAGACCGAGCAGAGTTCTCCAGAGAACACCGCTGGACTGCGCTACACCTTTCCCGGACCCTGTAACCTATCCCTTCACTTGTAAGTTACCCCACAAAATAAACCTCCCTTTTAACTACGTGGAGTTGCCTTCATACTTCCACCAGTACTACCAGGGGCCACAGCCTTAAAGGAAACTGATTCTCCCTCTCCTAGCAAGTATTAACTGTCAATAACTCCTCAGCTAGGGGTAGGGCCTTGTGAACCCTTCCTGCCTCCACTGAGATCTTTAAACAGTGGTCCCCAACCTTCCTAATGCTTCGACCCTTTAATACAGTTCCTCATGTTGTGGTGACCCCCAACCATAAAATTATTTTCATTACTGCTTCATAACTGTATTTTGCTACTGTTATGAATTGTAAATGTAAATATCTGTGTTTTTCGATGGTCTTAGGTGACCCCTGTGAAAAGGTCATTTGATCCCCAAAGGGCTCATGACCCACATGTTGAGAAACACCGCCTTTAAAAATGTTTTTATTTTGGCCAGGCGGTGGTGGCGCACGCCTTTAATCCCAGCACTCGGGAGGCAGAGCCAGGCGGATCTCTGTGAGTTCGAGGCCAGCCTGGGCTACCAAGTGAGTTCCAGGACAGGCGCAAAGCTACACAGTGAAACCCTGTCTCGAAAAACAAAACAAACAAACAAACAAAAATGTTTTTATTTTGAGATAGGGTCTCCTTAAGTTACCCCGACTGACCTTGAACTAACTTTGTAATACTGGCAGGCCTTGAATGCATGATTCTCATACCTCTGTCCACCAAGTATCTGGGATTATAAGCCTGCAGCACCAGGTTGGGTTACTGAATCTTATTAAAAAATAAAAATTAAAAAAAAACCCTCATAACTATCTACAAGATAAGCATAACAGAAATGATTCCCCCTACTGGAGATGAAGACAGTAAAGGTTAGTGCTATGAGCCACACAGATTAGGTCCTGGAACCCTGACTAGGGGCAGCAGTAGATTGAAGAAAGGACAGACACACAGACACAGACAACAAAGCTGGGATCGGGGATTCTCCAACCCACAGCTACCACTGTTTACAGCCTGCGTGTATTTACTCAGCACTGCACGAGGGGAGGGATTGGCTAGTCGCTGTCGGAGGTCTCTGTATACAAACCGTCTCAGACTGTAAACACCCAGGAGGAGCATGCCACAATTGCTATTCTTTGCACACACTGATCGATCATTCATAAACACTCAGACCCTGACTCTGGAAAAAAAAGCTTTGTCATTTCTCTGGAGCCTAGCCCAAACTGCTTTGCCAATTTCCCATGGGCCAATTGGTCTTGAGTCCTTGACAGGCCATGCCCATGTCAAAATACACGTGCACTCAAGATGTTACTTGCTCAGGGCTTGCTTTGCTCCCTATATAGGTTAGAGTGGTTGGGCAATCAGCTATCACACAGATAGCAAGTGGAAATCCAGGGACTCCATCAGGGTTCTGTAACAAGAGCTCAGCTCTTCATGCACTCTGGGGATGGGGTCCACTGTGACTCTGAAATAAGATAATTATGGATCTTCCAGAAAAAAAAAAAAAAAAACCAACTAACTTGCTTTAACACATAATCTCTATGGACTCTAGGGTCAAATCCCCCTTTGCTATCCTGGTGAATATTTGCAAATGTGTGTGTGTGTGTGTGTGTGTGTGTGTGTGTGTGTGTGTGTGTGTGTGTGTGTGTTATTCTCTGACTCGATTGTCAGCTCGTTAGAGGTTCACATCGTGTTTTCTCTTCCTTTCCACCCCCTCCAGCACATATCAGAGTCTGGTACCTCGCAGGGCTGTGGCAATGCCAGGATGTGGGACAGCAAAGCAGGAGTGTGAAGCGCACAGATCGTTGGTGCAGACATGTTTAACTGCTTGTTCGGCCGTGATTGACCTCATTCTCCATGCGTGCCTGCCACACTATTCCCAGTCCCTAGACCACAGTGTCGATAGTTTCCGATGGTGACGGGCATGAACAGCAGGAAGCAGCACAAGCAATGTCTTCCTCCACCTCAGCATGCATTTTCAGGTACTAAATGAGCTCCTGGGCACAGACAGACAATGTTTTTTCAAGTGTCTAGCCTAAGAGCCTGGCGTAAGAAGATAAGCCTGCTGCGGTGGCTGGGGGAAGAGAGAGGAACTAAGAACAGGACTACTGGGGGTTTCAAAATGGTAGTGGAGGAAAGGGAAGCAGGAACATCTGAACTAGACTGCCCAGGACATCTAGATCATCTGGCAGTGGGAGGGGAGAGGAGCCAGCAGAACGCACCAATAAGGCCGAGTCCAAGGTTGAATGGCTTTCTCTGACCATTTGCACACACTTGGCACCATGTTTCAGTACAATCTTGCTTCATCTTCCTGGCCTCTACTGTCATCAACAGCCATGACATTAGTCCGTCCTTTCATGAGAAACCGAGAGGACACCAGTGATGATTTAGATGCCGGGACAATTGACCTAGTTAGTAGAGATGGCTTTAACACAAATCTTGAGCTCATTTCTGCCTTGTCCTCCCTCCATCATATTTCCCAAGGGCTTGCTTTCCCAGATGGGGTGGAGAAGGAAAAAGATTCCAAGATCATGGTAAGAAGGGCCACTCCTAACAAAATGATCCCATCCTATGCCCAAGGGGATGACTCAATTGAGCTCCTTTAACTAGAGGATACGATTACATCCCACTGCTCAGAAGAATCAGAGCCCAGCCTGGGGAGGTCCCTGTCTCCTGCTTTGTAGAGGCTCATGAGTCCACTGTGAGGAGAGTCCAGGGGTTACAGAACACTAGAGTCAGCAAGACCAGGAGATGAGTGTCTCTGCAACAACCTCATGGATAGGTAGCCACAGCTACCCTGCAAGGTAGTGAAAGAATGTGTACTAGAATGCAGAAATCCTAGCATAATACCACATGGTTTTGCTTGACCCTGGTCCTTGAATGCCTAAGGTCGCCAACTCTGTTCTGGCAAGTCTGAACAGCCAAGGAAGGAACATTTGAACGCGTAGCGCTTCTTTCTGAAGCAGCTGCTCTTGAGATCACCTCCTTGTGTTGCAGCCAGCCCTGGGGACTGTCCCTTCCTCTCTGCAGCCGCCTGTGTTGCTAGTTAAGAGCACCTTTTAGCTGTTAAAAGCAGTCCCTGATCTCATCCTGATGAGAGTCCATTCTGGCACTTCTTCCTGGAGGGGATGGTGTGCCCATCAGGTATGAGAGAGAAATGAAGCTTCTTGTCCAAAAGTAGCATCACAAACCCCAGAAGCAATCAGCAAATTCCTTTACCACACCTTTAGCTCACCACTCCAAGGGCACTTCAACCCATGAACCGAATCGATCCAAGTGCATACACTTCTAGAGAGCTACTCTTGGAAAGGCAATGTGGCAGATACTGAGCCATGGACAAAAGCCTGAATCTTTACCTTCAAAGAACCCGCAAGCTTATCAGGGAAGGCCAGGAGAAACTGCATTCATGATGACTACCAGAACAGAGACAGGAGAAATTCTGTGATGCAACAAATGACTATTTGCACAGCTACAAGAAAAGGTCATGAGGACAACAGGTAATCAAAAGGGAAGACTGGAGTCGAGCAGCCCAGGGGAGCTTGTGCAAGAGGAAGAATTCAATGAAGACTTAAAAAAGAAAAAGGAAAAGAAAAAGAGAGTACTGAGAGAAAGCCAGAGCAGTTCAGAAGTTAGTAACTGAGAAAGAGCACAGAGCTGTTGGAAACATTCAAGCCAACAGGAAGGCAGTGTGTGGTGAGCACAGAGGCAGGCAGCCCTTGGCAGTTATCTAGTCTATTCTCAATTCCTAGTGTTGAGTTGGTTCCCTCAACTCAAAGTCTTACTGTTCTTATCCTCCTACCGCTGAGGACACCAAGGCACAGAGAAGTTTGAGAAACTCAGCAGAGTCAGGTGTAGTGGCAGAGGCAGGTGGATCTCTGGGTTTGAGGCCAGCCTCTGCACAGTGAGTTCCAAACCAGTCAGAGTACATAAGGAGACCCTGTCTCAAAAAAAGAGAAGAGAAGGAAGAAGAGGAGGAGGAGGAGGAAGAAGAAGAAAGAAAAGGAAAGAAGGCTGAAGATACAGGCATCGTGACTTGAGCAAAGATTTGAGTCTTTGGGGGCTTTTAACACAGCTCTTCTCGCCTTGAGTAGTGAAGTTGACTTGTTAGAAAGGCATCAACATTGAACATCTTGAACCCTGTTCATAAAGTCGGACCTGACTTTGGGGGCACTAGGAGACCCATCAAGGATTCCCAAGCATGGAAATGGGCCTTGATTAAATTGAGATACACAAGGGAGAAGAATCCAAAAGACACATTCACCTAGAAAAGAACACAGCAAAATTTGATAGCACATGTCTCTAGATCACCTTGCTTTTCTGTAAGTATTTTGTCCAGAGCTACCTCTGCCAGCTCCTTGGACTTTGAGCTGCAAAGGAATCAGGTGCTTGGTTGGTGGCAAAGTGGAAGCTTCTGAGAGGTAGGGGGCTTTTAGTTTGACTTGGGCAAGTGCTTCAGAGACAGGGGCAGAACTAGGCTTGGAAATGCTGTGTATTTGAAGATGGGAGATAAGTGAGAATTGGAAGGAGTAGAGAGGGCACACTACAGGTCACAAAATGCCTTGGAACTGTGGTATGTAATTCAATAACATCTTAAGCAGGACTGAATCTAAGCTTCTGGAAGAAAAAAATGATTGCTTTGATTTTGATTGCTTGGTAATGGCAGGTAATGTCTTTTTATTTCTTATCCTATTTTGCATGCTGAAATGGAAAATCTTTTCTTCTTGTACCAATGCTTTTGTAAGATTCGATCTTGCTGATACATCCCATCAAGGACTATCAAAGATAGGCTTGTTCTTTCCACGTTACCCGCTGTATATGACCCTCTACCATACTGAGTGTGGAGCAGATGAAGAAACAAGACCTCCGAGAGAGCCATAATTGAAATAAGAGCTCTAAACAGAATCATTTCCAGGAACTCTCTGTATGCACCAAGACGCCCACTAAACCCTTTGGAACAAAAAGATCAAGTAATTCTAAAACAGGGGGAAGGTTAAATAGCTGTCTTCTCTGGGAGTGTGAGAACAGAATGACAAGAGGCGAGGCATTCTCCTGTTCAGATGGTCTGCAGGGAATATCAGGTTTGTGTGAATGCTGTTTGGCTTCAGAGTCACAAAGCGTGGATTGTAGGACTGAGCTCAGTGAGGACTCCAGGCAGAGCGCAGAATGATGGACTCACTCTTGTAAATTGTGGTACTCAGTCTAAACATCGCCTGAATTTACAGCCACGTCTTCCTCCCCTGCTGTTGGAAATGGGCCCTGAATCTGAGTTCCAAACAGCTGTTTTGTGTCCACCCAGAGGAAGCTAAGAGATAACTGGGTGTGGGTGCGTGAGAGACGCTGCTAGCGACATTCCAATCTGGTTCTAATACCTACTTTTGTTGGAATGGTGACTTGATTAGTTGTGTCAAAATAACGTAAGAAACTAGAATGCTGCTCTGTGGACATCCCCTATCCGGGCTCAGGTTTGTTGCTGATGAACTGAGGCTGTTGCTGTGTGTTGACTTTGTTCTCGGCTGCAATGTGAGACGGCTTGGATTCATGCCTGACACTGAGTCTTTTTTTTTTTTTTAATGGAGCTGTGTATGAGGAATTTTAAGTCACATTTCCAGGCTCCAGTTCCAGGAAGAAAGCTAATGCTTTCAGGCTCCTGTGAATCTTTAATTCTTCCCTTGTAGATCTGGATCTTTAGGCACCAAGAATAAGTCTGGTGTATCAGCCAGTTTCCTGTCGCTGGGACAAAAGACCTGAGAGAATCGATCTATGAAGAGAAAAAGGTTATTTTGTCTCATGGTCTCAGCACTCCGTCCCTTGACAGCCCAGTACCTCATGTATGTGGCAGTAGAAACACACAATGGTGATCAGGAAGTAAAGAGAGGGAAGGGGGGGGTCAGTCTTGATACCTCTGATTCAAGGATGACTGAACTTCTTTCTGCTAGGTTCTACCCACTAATGTTTTATCTACTTCCCAGCCATCCCACAGGCTCATGACCAGGACATTAATACATGACCTTTGGGGAACATTCAAGATCTAATCTATAATACCTGGGTATCCATGTGGCCTAGGGCTACAGTTATTTCTAGGTCGGTGCTCACCATATGTTGGCCCAGGTTCCTGGAGTCGACTCATACCCTGGCCTCCCCTCTCAAGCTCCAACTCATCACCCCACCTGGAACTCAATTTTCCCTCCAAACTACTCTACACTTGTCCCATCTCGTCTATCTTATCCCCTTTCCTGGATTTTTCTGCTATGGCAGGCCATACAATGATTGTGCTGTAGGGACAGGGCATGTCTGCCTGGTGGGACCCTCAGATGAGTCCTGCTCAGTTCAGAGCCCCTGAAAGAGCAGTGACATCACTCCCCATGGGAAAGTATCAGACCCTTGAGGAAGCACTTTTGATCACCACAGTTATTGGTAGTGACACTGAGGGCATTTACTAAGAGGGGACCAAGAATGCTAGCTGTTCTGTCACGCCCAGCACAGGCACCACAGCCAAGAAATGTCATGTATCCCATGTAGTCTTCCAAAGCCACACAGAGATGACTCTGAACACATTGCTTATTGTTTCCCGGGTATGAAATGCAATCCCGTTTTATTTGGACACATAAATTACCTTTGTGAAGTTCTAACATAGAATTTTGCAGTAAATGCCCTTTCAACATTTAAAAGCTTTACCAACAGTGGCCTCGATGTCAGAAAAGCATTTCCCAGGAGTACCACTCTTGGCATTTTGGCCGCCCAGTCACCTGTCCCCATCTACTTGTCTCTGTCATGTTCATTCTGTTCTCAAATTATGCCTTCCTGTTAGTCATGCCCATGCATTAACATACTTCAATACATATTATTTTATTACAAATTATTCCTTGTTACCAGTGTTCTCTTTATTTTTTAAGAGTATTGAGTTCTTAAAAATAGGAACGAGTGGGAAGTTGTATTATTTGTGAATTTCAATAGTTGAGAGGGTGGAATGAAACATTTATTTAAAATTCGGGTCTGATAGGTTTGATCATCATTGACTTAAGGGAATACTGTGGGGCTCACTCTTGACGTCACACAGACCCCATGACAGTGTTTTATGTTCTAGGCTACGCTACTTCTCAAGAGCACTCCTGGGTGGGTGGTATCCCCTTGCAGAATCAACCACTTTCTAACATTTTGCTTCATCAGGACCTTAGAAACTTTCAAAGCAGAATCCAGGGTCTCTCAAATCAGTAGCATCTATGGGATTCATCTCACCAGCTTACTACATGTTTCTCCTCAGGGTCTGGGAAGCTACTGTCCTCTGTTCAGAGCACCTGCAGGAGGGCAACAGTGGATGAACACGGATGCTGTGCCAGGGCACTGGGGTGGAGAGCCCGGCCCAGGCACTGCTGTCCCACAGAAGAGCACCCTCCTCCAGCAGCCAGGAGGACACAGGCAGGGGTCTCTTCCACACAGTGCTTGGAAAGGCACAGCCATGCTATGGTTCTTTGGACTTTTATTTTCTGTAACCTAACCCTACCACCACCACCATGTTTACTCAGTCTACTGCCACACAGGGCATGTACCATACAACCGATTAAAGTCTTCTAAAGGACATTTGCACCCTGGACCTGTTTTTTTTCTGATTACACACAGATCTCTTGCCTTGATGATGACTTTGTTTGGTCTGCCCATTTCAGACAGTCTTCCATTTATCCAACAGATGGCCGATGGATTACATTCATTGTATATGAATTTCATGAGTTCAACTCAGAAGGTGACCTCATGTCTCTGATCTCCAAATTGGGGGAGGTGGAGTTTTCCCATTGGTGCTTCCGTGTTCTGCCAAAGGTGATGTCAGAAAGAAGGCTGGGACAGTTTCAGACTGCTTTCTGTCTTGGCATCAGTCTCTAAAGCTGAGACAATTTTTCTGATTTCATGTGTGGTGTGTGGTGTGTGTGTGTGTGTGTGTGTGTGTGTGTACACCTGCATGTGTCCAGGTTCACATGGATGTGTGTAAATATACATGTAGAGGCCAGGGTCAACTTCAGGTTGTATTCCTCAGAAACCATCCACTTCGCTTTTGAGTTAGTGTTTCTCTGTGGCATGCGGGGCTTGCAGACTAGGCTGGGCTGGCTAGCCAGAGCCTCAGAGACCCGCCTGTCTCCATCTCCTCAACACGGGGATTACAAGCAGGTGCCGTCACATCCGGCTCATTTCCTATAGGTCCTGGAGTCTGAACTCCAGTCCCTGTGCTTGCTGGGCCATCGTCCCAGCCCGTTGCCCTGATTCATATCTGAGGACAGTAAAGCAGAGTTCTATTTTACTCCAAGTCCTACAAAACCTGTATTAAGGAAGCGAGATGTATCCTGAATAGAAATGTTCTTTGTCACTTACTGATACATCTGCCAACCAATAAAAATATCAGGTCAGAGTCCTTCTAAAATGCTGTTCCTAACAGTCCACTAGAGGAAATTCAAATAACACAGGAAAGCCAAATGTCATTGTGATATCTGGTAGAGCTCAGATCTCCAAACTCCTTTAAAGACAGAATAGAGTTGTGATTACTGATTATCTGAAAACATTTTGAGGTCTTTGGCGATGGTATGTTATGTCCTTAGTTAAAATGTGCTTTCGTGCTTAAGGTGTAGCTCTGGACAGTTCTCAGCACTGACACCCACATCCTAAGGATCAGACAATTTTTCTCTCAGCCGGTCTTCAATCTTAACTTTAAATATGCCCATCCCTATAATTTAAAAGACTAAGAATATTCAAATACTCTACTTGAGAATAGTTCATTTCCTGTCCTCCAAGCCCAGGCGTTGATGTTCACTTGCTCTTCTGTGGTACACGCCATTGCCCTGTTGGTGGATGAGATGATGCTAAAAGACCTTCACCGAGTGTGTGAGGCACTACACAAGGCAGCTTTCTCAACTATACATCTTTGGGAGTTTTGAGGAAATTTGACCCCTTGCAAAATGAAACTGTTGTGAGAGTTGGTGTGACAAGTCTTTCTCTGTCCCACCAGCTCCCAAATAATGACACGGAGACTTCTTACTAATTATGAAAGCTCAGCCTTAGCTTAGGCTTCTTTCTAACTAGATCTTACAACTTAAATTAACCCATTTTGATTATTTTTACATGCTGTCACATGGCTTGTAGCTTTTACCTCTCCTCCTGTATATCCCACGCCCTCTGTGTCCAGCTGGCAACTCCCCCTTCCATCTTCCCTGAACTCTCTCTATCCAGAAGTCTCACCTACACCTCCTGCTTAATCACAGTGACATATCTTTACACAGTATAATCAAATACCTTGCAACAAGTTGGAAACTCTGCACCTGTATGTATATATTTTCAGCATTAAAGTGTGGGCTGAGAAGACACTTGTGTTAGTATGATTTAGTAGTATTTGGATAGTTCAGAAGAGAAGCGTTCAGGGAAGCATGGCTGGCTTCTGCAACCTTTGTTAGAACTTTACAGACTGAAATAGTGTTTATTTAAGCTTCTTAGCTCAAGTGCCCGAGCATTCTCAGTTCTTGTTATGGCGTTCTCTCTGACCTCCCGGGATTGAAGCTTCCATAGTTCTTTTTGTATCAGTAAGAAGGCACACACTTTCAGCTGCCTGGAGCTCCAGGTCACCTTGAAGTGCCATGAAGTTCACTCACTGAGTGTGAAGATGCTTCTCTCATCAAACCAAGAACTTGTGTAAGCACCCTTCTGTAAGGTGTGATTTAATGGCTTTCTTTTTCTTCAGAAGGCATGGTAACTATAACACAAGCCCATCGTTTTAAGTATTTTCAGATGCTGAATAGATATTGAACTGAAATTTAAGTGTAAGAAATATTTTAGATTGTATTTCATCTACTCGTTCACTTAGATATTTATGACATGGATGTTTATTAAGTATCCCTCATGGGGCAGATGCTGCCTGAGGTACTGGATGTACTAAGACAGCAGGCTGTGGGACCATTTCTCAAGGAGCTCTGGTTTAAGAGAGATTCACCGGTGTGTAAAAGTATAAGTGCAACTCAGCATTGGAGTCTTACATGGAGGTTCACTAGGAGATCAATGGTAACAAAGGATTATGATTAACAACGCTTAAGCAAGGATCTGTGAAATGAAGATGCTTTCACTGGGCCTTAAAGGTAGAAGTTTGCCCATCACACATAGCAAAGAGAAACATTTCAGGGAGGAGGAGGAAAAGGAGGAGGAGGAGGAGGACGAGAAGCAGCAGCAGCAGGAGAAGACTGTGTGCCAAAGTGTAGCGGTGAATCAGGCCAGTGTAACCTCTCAGAAAACAGTCAGATGAAGCTGGGGCTTGAAACAAAACATGGGGCTGGAGGGACTACGTCCGAAATGGTCTAGGATGCCTTGGTTAAGGGGTTATGCTGGGGGTGTCTTTCTGTATGCTGTGAATGTATTGCTCTGATCAATTGATAAATAAAACGCTGATTGGTCAGTAGCCAGTCAGGAAGTATAGTATAGGCGGGACAAGCAGAGAGGAGAATGCTGGGAACAGGAAGGCTGAGTCAGGAGTAGCCAGCCAGACACAGAGGAAGCAAGATATAAAAGTACCAGTAAGCCACAAGCCATGTGGCAACTTATAGATTAATAGAAATGGGTTAATTTAAGATATAAGAACTAGATAGCAAGAAGCCTGCCATGGCCATAAAGTTTATAAGTAATGTAAGTCTCTGTGTGTTTACTTGGGTCTGAGTGGCTGTGGGCCCAGGGAAGAACTGGAGAAAACTCCAGCTACATGGTTATACGTCTCTTAGTGATCAGTGGGCAAGAGAAAGTGTCACAATCAAATCTGAGTGAAGGAAGATCAGTATGGATTCCAAGTAAGTGGATGTGTGGTAGGACCAGAGGCAGGAAATGTGACTGAGATAGCTGGGTGGCCACTGAAGCTCTGTGGCTCCCTCTGTAGTGTGGACTTGAGGCTGGGAAGCATTTGTTCTGTGATCCAGGTTTCTCCAAGTGGGGGGACTAGTTTTGGCTAAAGGATTGTGAGTAAGAGTATGCATGTCACTCGGGATCAAGGTTCCTTGGACAACACATTCATGCTGTCTTCCCAGCCATGGCAACTCTGCAGCTTCACATTGGAGGTGGCTGTGGGACAAGATTAAAGAAACCTGGATTCTGAATCAGAAAGGTGACCGGAAGAGCACCGAGAACACCTATATCAGGTTTTCTCTGGGAAAAAGTAAAATTGTTTTGTATTGAGCCCAATACTGTCATCATTGCTAAGCAACCCCTAATGCGGTAGGCATGTTATGACATACACAGTAAAATCTAGACTTTCTATGCTCCACACTGAAGGACAGGAACATTGTATTATTCAGACTTATTCTGAGATACAGAACTAATTGGAAATAGAGAGATGCCAGATAGCTAAAAAACAGTGCTTTAATTAGCTTCCTAAATATTCCTTAATCTAGTCAAATTGGCTCGGGAATTAACCATCATCACAGAGCTGTTGGGAAAGGCGAGTGGGAGATGGAATGTAGGGAGTGACAATTTGTGAGAAATCCCAGAAGACAGGCTACAGAGCACAGGAAGCAGGAGCTCTTAGACAGAGGAGGGAGAGAGAATGTCTCTACTTCAAACTAACAAAAAAAAAAGTGGTTAGAGAGACATCCAAAGGCGACTAGTGGTGCTTACTAGTGCAGTGTATTTTCTCAGAGGGCGAGAGAGAGAGAGAGAGAGAGAGAGAGAGAGAGAGAGAGAGAGAGAGAGAGAGACCCATGGAGATGTTTTCTAACAGAATGAGACGATGCCAGCAGATGTCTTTCTGGAAAAGACAAACATAAAGGTAACATCCACGAAGAAAGGGAGAGGAGACACTTAACATGGGAATGACCACAGTACCTCAGGGTTACATCAGTTTTCTCCAGGCCAGCGCTGGAGCCCAGGTGTAGGGGGAGAGAGGTCTTACAGTTGATCTGAGGTCGAGCTAGTCCCGAGAAGAACAAAGTGTAATAATGAAGGAATGGTGGGGTGCACTAAGTTAGGGCAGGCCCAACAGCTAGAACTAAATCCCAGCTTTTCAGTGGCCCAAGCTTGATACAAGTTTCCAGTTCTGGGGAAAGTGGAGCAGATGTATTTCGTGTTAAGGATCCTGAAAAATTAAATGGTGGCTGGTGACTGGGGAAAATAAGGATTAGAAGTGTGATAAAACTTGTAATGAACTCCAAGCTACCAGAAGCTTCAATGTGGGCATCTTTGACACAGAGCTCTAGATGAAACACCTCTAGTTGTAGCTCAAAAGCATGGAAGGGTCTCCTAATGCTCAGAGGGAGTGGGCAAACACTTTCTTCCCTCTCTTCACTTACACCGGGCCCCTGGGAGATCCCACCGTGGCATGGAAGGGTCTCCTAATGCTCAGAGGGAGTGGACAAACACTTTCTTCCCTCTATTCACTTACACCCAGCCCCTGGGAGATCCCTCCATGGCATGGAAGGGTCACTAGAATAACAACAGAGACCTCCGGAGTCTAACCTGTGGACAAGGTGCTCACTTCTCCAGTCAAAGGAGATGAATCCTCAGAAGGTAGATGGAGCCACATTTTTATTGTTGTCTTCTGCAATCTGTCCTCCTGCTTCTTGGCCCTGGAC